GATTTAAAAGCAACGCACTGTGGATGTGCTGCTTGATCGGGTGTGGAATGACAGAAAAATTTCAAATTAGCTGTGGCATGGGAAGGAGGGATTACTCGAGAAAAGGTTCTTTCTTGGAATTGTTAAATTGCAAGATTATCTAACCGTGCAGTCGATTACATGTAAATGTATGTAGTTGATTATATACAGTTCTGCAGCTTAGCTGTGCAACATTGAAATTATTAATTACATTTGAATGCCTCAATGCTGCCTAATGCAGTAATAAATAAATGGAAGAACACAGCGAGACATTTGGGAATACGATGGGATACATCATCGTGGACTGGTGCAGACGAGACGGCAGCTGTGAGGAGAGCAGCATTCGCTTTGCAGAATTTTACAACTGAGGAGCATTCTTTCGGAGTTGCAACATTCTGTTTACCAGCCTTGCATTTTTTTCGGAAGCATTGTGCCAGTGACTCTGCAGACCTAATAAAATTTTAAACATGTTTTAAATTCAACTGATCTTCCTTCTTTTTTTGCTGCTGTAAACACAAAAAGGCGACCTAATTGCAATATGTCATACCAACAAGCTGTGCTTTATCAGTCATGAAAGTTGAAGAGCGATGTTAAAAAAACTATTTTCAACAGATTTTAAAGTAACATTTCTGCCGTTTCCACGTAGAGGTTTGTGCCGCTGCTGCATATTTTTGCTCGTGCCGTCGCCACCGTACTGAGAGTTCCCACACCGTCACCATCGCCACACAATAATATCTCTTCGCTTCCGTTGGTCACCGGAACTGGAAATAAGAACATAAAATGCATTACTTTGCCGGTGCAACTCTTCTCGATGTGTTCTTGCAGTGGACAGTCCAGCTGCTACTGATTAGTGGGAGCTCAGCCAGCAGCACAGCCTCTCTTTCCGGTTTTTCCGCTTCGTCATTTTGATGTTGTGAAGTTTTCACAACTCTCGGCTCAGATTAGAGGTACAGAATGCACTCTGTCTATTAAGAAAAGGAATAGGAAAGAGCTCTACAAGCCAACCACCTTTGAAGCCGCTATCTTCTTGGCGTTGTGTCACAATTTCCATCATGTTTGTTTGTTTTCCTTTTTCTTGGTCAGCTCATTGGGGAAAAACGAAAATTGCTGAGCACGTGCACCTCCAACCACAAATTAACCTCTTCAGATGGTACTCTCACCTTGTGCTTCCTGCTATGGGCACAGTTACCAGCATGTTCTTGGTAAATTTTTATAGCTTGGGAGCCATTATCGATGTCTAGCCCTAGCGGACTGTCGATTGAAGCTGCAGTTTATTGGGTCAAGTTCAGCGACCAGCGCAGCCCCAGCTTCCGGTGCTCCTTCGATAACGTCAGTTCGATATTGCTGTGCTCTACTCCACTACTTATAGAGTGCAATGGCTCTTAGTTTTTTTGTAAATGGCTCCCAAACAATAGCTTGTTATTGAAATATTTATTATATATATATATACTTTGTATGTTTATGTAATTATTTTATATTGTTAAAATGAAATGGTGAGTAGGTAGTCTAATAAAAAAATATTCATGGCTTTTTAGTGTGTGGAGCTTCTATAATTGGACTGTGTACGTTGTACTTGTAATGGCTCATGGTATGCCTCAATGCCAAACGTGTTCACATATATGACAGATTATGAATTTTCCTGCTGGCATGCAATACACAAATCATTGCAGCATCAGTTTTGCTCAACGATAAACTTCTGAGCCAGTTGTCACCATATACCCGAAAAACGTATGAGAAACTCATCACTGGACTGTGTCAAAAACAGCAAGAAGGTTTCAGATGAGACACCATGAAAGCAAAAAAACTTGGTAAGTGTTTCTCTTTCATGGATACATCTAGGCAATGCAGTGCTTGGTTTTATAGTTTCATTATTTTATTTGCAGGTGTGCTGCCAAACTTTCGGAAAACGCCAACGTTTTTATAGGATCCAAAACTGTTTGATGCGCGGGGATATGTTTGGCGCAAAAAATCATGTTTTCGCCAAAATGAAGTAGAATGTAGCAAGTTGTCACAGTTATGGCGCAGCTATCACATTACCTCACTGCATACCTATTTCCTGTGCGATTTTACTATGTTGAGCTGCCGCAAGATGTCATCTTTGCGGGATACTTCTCGCTGTGCATATATCTGAGTGGATACATTTGAGATGGCCTTCTGGATCTGAGATGGGTCATTCTGCTGCGACGAAAGAAAAGGTTTATGAGCATTTACGTGCTTCACTTATTCAACGCAATCCTACAGATCCAAAATTTTCGTATATTCTTAACGCATCAAACAAATGCGATTACAGCAACCTGCCTCAGAAACAGCAAAACGCGTTGGACACTCGGAGGACTGACATTTTGTACGGCTACGAAAAGATCAATTTTTACCGGCAGATCCTTGCATCGGGGCGCATTTTCTTCCGGCGTCGGGCTCTCCATACCTCACTGTCTGCACGTATCAAACGTAATATTTGCACCTGTTGTTCGGTGCCACATAACTAGCAAAAGTATTTTAACTGATCGCTGTGATAACATTGTACACACGGAGGCATTGCGAAGGTTTATGCTACCCGCCTTGCGCATTGTTTGTGATCGAGCGATGAACCACAGGATGAACTCAATGTGACGAACGGCAGACAAACGATAACAACGATTGATGGCGGTACACTTTATCGTCGCTAAACACGCGTTACCATGTTGACGTAAAAGCAAAATTACCTTCAATGGAATTTTTTCTACATCAAAATTTATGCTTCAAAAAAAGTCGAAACCGAAAACAGCGCGTGGATAAAAACGAATAGGCAGCGTCGCCTGCACCGCGCGGTGCAGCATCCAGCACCCACACGACTTCTGCACCGCACGGAAGTGACGTCACTTTAAAAATTATTACTTAAAGCTAAGTAAATGTGTAAATTATTCGTGTGTAATGCGTTAAACCTACAAAAAGTTTACTAAGCAGGTGTTTCACGAGTCAATCAGCCTAGGTTTGTTATTTAAATACTTATTACAAGTATTTTAAATACAGGGGGCGTTATGGGCACTGCGGCTGCGAAAGGTAAACACTGCGATATAGGCACTGCGCCGTGCTCCCGACCGGGTTGCAGAGATTAGGTGCCTTTTCTCATCTTCTAACCACTACCACCACGATATAGTAACCGCCTGCGCTGTGTGTATGTAGGTAGTGCAAACTCCGATGAAATCGTGGCCATGGCCTAGGCCACTCACAAGGAGGACTGGAGTGTCGTCGCTGCTTCATGTGAATGCTGGATGCTTAGTTGAACCTGGTGGTTGGAGCTAGCGCGGCCGTCCACCGCGCCGCAGCTTCATCTGAGTGTGTGCGCCATAAAGTTTCTCAGTATGATGTGCGGATTACAGTTGTTGGACGTACGGCATTTTCTAGATTGCAATGCCAAGCGTGATGTTGTCAAAAGTTAAAGTGTTCTTGCTGCCGAGTTTTTCTTGTCACGAAGGACAAGGTCGACGATGAAATAAACGCTTTCGCGCAGTTCAAGTGTGCGTTCAAGACAAAAAAAGAAAGCTGGCTCGGAGTGTGGCAGAAGTGCATGAAAAGATAGAAAGGCAGCTGCAAAATTTAGGGACCATCTAAACTCCCTTAGAAATGAGACAAGCCTAGAGCAGAAGTTTATAACTGTAGCTCAAGGTGTTAGCCTAGAAGGGGACAAAGCTATTGAATATAAGAACAAGGCTGACAGAAAAATTTCAACAAGGATGTGCTTTATGCACCTTAATAGACAAGCATGAATCAAGTGGTGCAGTGGCTCCATTTTCACAAAGACAGTGGGAAAGGGCTAAAAAAAAATGGTTCCTGGAAGTACATCAACAGGCCCTGATGGCATCCCAATTATTCTGATAAATGCATTGGGTCCCAAGTCTAAGCAGACTTTGAGAGAGGCAGCGAGCAAAACAATAATCAATCCTGAAGTCCCCGATGGATGGACACTTAGCAGGATGAGCATGATCTATAAAGAAAAGGGGCACAAAGCTGACACAAACAACTACCGTCTTGTAACAGTGACACCAGTGGTCTACAGGCTGGCAATGCAGATTATGAAGGAGAGACTGCAGGCCTGGATAGAGGATGACGGGGTGCTGGGGGAACTAGAGAATGGGTTTCAGAAACACAGGAGGTTGGAATACAATTCATTATCAATGACGCAGTGCATCGAAATGGCAGGGAAGGAACACAGGTCCCTTTGGCTAGCATTTTTGGATATGAAGGGAGGGTACGATAGCATGGTTCAAGAGGACTTGTGGGGAATACTGGACACACTAGGTGTGGGAGATGGAGTCGCTAATTCTTTAAAGGATATCTATAAAAGTAACAAGATAATTATAAAATGGGAAAAACAGGCATCCTAGCTTACAGAGATAAAAGGGGGGCTTAGGCAGGGGTGTCCTCTGTCACCCTTGTTATTCGTGTTGTACCTACAAGGATTAGAGGCCAAACTATAGGGGAGTGGACTTGGCCTCAAGCTCTATTTCATCAAACAAGAAAAACTCATTGAACAGGCATTACCAGCATTGACGTACGCAGATGATAAAGTACTACTGACCAAGAACAAGGAAGATTTGCAGAGATTGATGAATATCTACGGTAATAAGGTTGATGGGTTAGCTTTCAGATTCAGTAAAGAAAAATCAGCAGTCACGATTTTTAATGGTAATGAAGGTGGTGAGCTTAGGATACAGAAGGTCACGCTAGAGATAAGAGATGAATACAAATATCTCTGGGTGAATGGATAAGCAATGACAAGGAGTACCTAAAGGAACACGAAATATACGTAATGACCAAAGGTAACAGAAATGCAGCGGTGATGAAAACTAGCGCACTGTGGAATTACAATAGGTATGATGTTGTGAGAGGAATATATATGAAAAGGCGTCATAGTTCCTGGTCCGACTTTTGGCAATGCGGTCTTGTGCATGAGATTAGAGGTACAAGCAAGATTAGAAATTCATCAACGTGGAATAGGCAGGCTCGCTTTAGAAGCTCACGGGAATACACATAATCAGGCAGTACAAGGTGACATGGGATGGACATCATTTGAGGGCAGGGAAGCTAACAGCAAGATGAATTTTGAGAAGCGATTGAGAGAAATGGGGGAGGAGCATTGAACTAGGAAGGTTTTCAGGTACTTGTACAAGAGAAATGTCGATACCAAATCCAGGAAGAGAACCAGAAAATTGACGGGTAAGTACTTAGAAAAGTGCAGGGGGCCAAATCAAAAAGAAGTATCGGTTAAGAAGAAGGTGTAGGAAACGGAGACCGGCATGTGGAGAACTGGCATGATTAAAAAGTTCGCACATCTATCGAACTCCTAAGCAGGATACTGTCAAGGAGGATCTACGATAATACTCGGGGTAGTTCTCTACTGTTTGAGGCCAGGACCAGGACTTATCGGGCCAAAGACGAAGAGGTAGACACGGTATGCAGTGCGTGTAGAGAGGAAAAAGAAACTGCCGAACACCTGATAATGTTCTGTAAAGAGCGCGCAGAGTTTTGCAAAGCACTGGGGTTCAAGGACAGCCGGGGCAAAATAGACTTTAGACGGGTAGAAATACGTAGAAGGAGGGAAATACGTTGCTCTTGGCGCGAGCCTCTCCGCGTTGTTTTCTGTCACAAGCAGTTTCGTAACATGAACGCTGAGGTTCCACGCTCGTTATGCGTTGCTGTGGGTCTTCCTACTTTCCGTACGTCTTTAGAAGTTGTCTTATGTTAATGCCTTGAATGGTGCTCCACCGTTCAGTGATGTCGGTTCTACTTCTATGAGCTCTAACAGACCTCGTTGACGGAAGAGGAGAACGCTCATTACGAGTCCATGACGAATCGTTACAAGGAAAAGCAAGTGGGATCCTTGGAGAACAACTTCACGTCTGATAGGCGTACCATTGCAGTGAGTCAACACGCTGTCTTGCTCTTTTTTTTACTCGTCTCATTCATTTCATCACGCAAGGAGTTGCTCAGCATGTAGTGCCTCATGCATCGTCTTGCAACGAGGGCTTGAGTTGGCAATGTCTTGTGCAAGGTCGTTCCAGTCCTTCCCTGCTCGAGAAAAAGATGAAGAGGCGAAGGTGACTGTGCGAGCATGAGGACAGGCAACATTTATGGGGTGACAATGTGATAGGATGTGTGTGATGGTGACGAAATATACGGTGGTTGTTATAGTGCGCTGTGGTAGAACTTATGAAATAATGATAAACTAGCAATGAGGAGTCGGTGATAAATTGTTAGTAAGCCTGATTCCGCTTTGAAAGATGTTACTCTGAAATTGTATGAAGAGGCGAAATGAATGAAACTAATGGCACGATTCTCTCGAATGATTTTCCCACGTGACTGATGCACAACCTGGGTTAGAGCAAAAGTGGCATGAATTACTTTGTGGTCACTTATTTTATTAAGGCAGGTGATGGAAGGTAGCATTTCCGGGCTTGTGTGCCACACTTGAATCGCAGCACATCAGACACCAAAATGATTACTTTTACATTGATGCGGTATTCAGTGGGAATATAAATTACATTCCAGTAACGATTTGAAGGCATATGGAAGGCACGACATGAATTTTTATTGCCTTTTGAAGTAAATATACAGTAGTACGTTCGAGTTGCATTAAGTTGTACAGATAGGGCGGTATGGTGAAATCGGTAAATACTGAAGTGCCATGCATGTTCTGGGACTTGTCTGTGAATGTAAGTTCACTTTAGGTTTTTTCAGTAGTAATGTTTCACGGCTCTACAGTTTCACCTTGTACTATTTCTAGGCTGTATAAAGCATGTGAAGATTAAACCAATCTTGACTGCATTTCATGTGCAAAGCTAAAGCTTTCTTTGTTACAGTTAGGTCAGTTGAGAAGCAATTCATGCTTCGCTGTCAGCCTAATCATTGTTTCACAAATAAAGCAAGTAGGAGCAATGTGCATATAAAAAACTAAACAGGTTTGCAATCGGTTTTTGTAGAGCTTTGGACATTTTACGAATTCGGAGCTTTTCATTCTTAGTCAGTTTTTATGCTGGCCTTCCCGAGTTGTCGTGGAATCTGCAAAAGATTTGTTTTCCATGTCATCTTGTATTGGGTAGATTGTGCTGAAATGAAACCTGATGTCACGGTAGCTTGATAGCAGCTAAAGTATAGCGATGCCAAGCTTGGTCACAGGTTCAATCTAGGACATATACTAATAACCTTGTCACCAATCAGATTAGTAGATATAGACAACGTTTTTAAGTAACAACTTTCAAGGTTCATGCCCACTGATTGAATTGTTCAATCTCTGATGTATTACAGTAGTGTCATCAGTAGTCAGCCGCGTAAGATTTAGGTAACGTTAAGTAGCAACTTTCAAGGCCCATTCATCCATACTTATTGAATTGTGAGGTCCAGCATGTATTGTAATAATTTCATCTCCATTCAGATACATAATATTGGGTAGTGTTAAAGAGGAACTTTTGAGGTTTCTGTCTAGGTTCGTGTGTCAAGGTTGATGCTTTTGTTGAACGTAAACAAAGCCAGACAATCTTAGTCAGTGCTAGCTTCTTGCTACCTTGTGCATTGGGCATGATTTTCAAGGACTTGAAACTATTAGTGAAGGAAATGTTAGCTCAGGGGTGATAGTAGTCTGCTTCGAAGCATGAAACTGCTGTTCCTACACCTGATTGCAGTGGCAGAGATGGCAGAGAAGGTCACGACGAGTTCCTGGATGCCTATCGGACATTCTTCAGCGAGCAGACTCCGCTGGTGGATTCCTTCAGTGAGGTATACCGTAAAGCAGTCAAGTACCTTCACGAGGAGGCGATTTATCACTGCACTATAGTGGCCCGGCGTTGTCTGGTTTGGCCCGGCGACAAAATATCTTCAGGTATGAGTTCATTGCTCCTTTTATGACACAATAACACCTTTACTTTATTTACGTCTCAGTCAGAATTTCTACGGTACACTTAAAACAGTACAGAAAGGTGGCCTAGTTGGTAGTTCGTACTCGTTTAGCGAACTGGGAGGGCAGGAACACGCAACAGACAGAAAAGAGCCACACAGCACGAGTGAGCAATCAGGCTGTGTGGCTCTTCTGCGTCTTTTGTGCATGTTTCCGCATTCCCAGTTCGCTGAAAGAGCTTAAAAAAGTACTACACTCAAATCTCAATATAACGAACCCAGATATAATAAAAAATTGGTTATAATGAAGTAAGTGAAGAAAAGTTGCAATAGATATAGTGTTAGAAATAGACATTTATAACGGATTTTTTGATATAGCAAACTTTTTTTCATGTAAGATGTAACTTTGTTGTAATGAGGTTTGAATGTATTAACATCTCGTGTACTTTCTTGGTCTTGGCTTCGATTTCCACCAGTATTCATTAACATTGTGTTAAAAAAAGACATGAGCTCTCAAAATCCTCTCCCCCATTTGTAGCGAAAATTCTTTTCCGGCAAACTTCAGGTAGTTGTATGCGAGGGCTTACTCGATCATGTCCCGCATGACGTGAGCTGTCTATGCTGCGAGTGGTACTAACACTCCTTCCATGCACATAAAATACCCCACAAATTGGATGAGGGGACCACGACCACCGTAGCTCATTTGGTAAGAGCATCGATTGCATAATCGTACGTTGCAGGTTTGATTCCCGACGGCGGCAAGTTGTCTTTTCATTCCCCTCATGTGTGTATCGCAATGGCAACATTACACTAGAGCTATATGAATACCAAATTTTAGGTGCCAAGCGAATTCGAATGTTGAAGTGTGAGTGCAAATGGAATGGAATGTTTTGAAAATTTTTCTTGTATATTTCTAAAATCTTTTTCGGATAGTTTAATGCGAAATTCCAGGGGAAAATTGGAAAGGATTCCTAATTTCAATATATCTCTAATCTTTTTCGAGTACCTTGAATTGGAATTGCGAGGCAAAAAAAATTACAAAGGATGCACAAGTACTTGCTTATGATATATAGCAACATGAAAGTGTTTCTTTTCGCTAGGTTGATGAAGCACTGGTGGGGTGGTATCTATAGTTGTCTTATCAAGAATGAGGCAATGCAGAGGCTGAATTGTATTTGTGTAGATGATTTGTTGCAACCAAAGTGTCACCAAGAACACTTTAGAAGCGAAAGGCCTAGATGCTACTTCCTCGTCCTCTCCTCCTCTTTCAACTTCCGTGGAAACTCAACTGATATGGCAGACAAAGAGTTGCTCCCTTCAAGTTAGAAGTTCCGAATCTTCAAGTCAGAGTTCTGAATTTTTTAAAGACATTGTCGCATACTTCACGGCCCATTACTTGTAATGCTGTAAATTTAGCAGGTGCCCATCACATAAAAATTTAAAAATAAATAGATTCTGCATGGAACCAACATCGTGCATTTCCGGAAACTCGGAAAAAATAGGAGCAGGAGGATGAAAAAGAGAGAAAGAAATGTTGCATCCAGGCGGAGGTCGGAATATTTACAAAATAACGTGGCTGATACCCCTACTTAGGAATCGGTATAACACGAAAGTCAAAGGTGTCTTTACAGAGGTAGTTGGGCATTTATTGTGCATTGCTTCAGCAACAGCAATAAATTGCAAAGTTATGTTAGGAATGGCAAGCAGCTCGAAACTTGCAGTGCATACCTCAAGCAGAAATAACGCACGAAATTAGCATATGCAGAACGAGCGCAGACTAACAACTGTCAAGCTCGAAACTTAGAGTGCACTGTTCAAACAGAAAGAAAAACGCATGATCAAGCAGAAAGAAAGACACACTAAAGGAGCACAAGTATACGCAGGACAAGCGCGAACAGCTCTCGCAATAATTCCTGCATCTCATGTCAGCAGCGTGCTCCTTTCGTAAAAGCGGCCATAGTAGCGTGCGAAGTGACCTTTGTCTTTTCCCTTGTGACAAGTTCGATGAGCCCTCGCTTAGGAGAGACCACTCTCTCTCCTTGTAGGCAGGGTTTCATGGAGGCGACAACCTGGAGCTCAATGTGCCGTCTCATGGAGCCCAGTGTGCCGTCTCGCCACTGATGAAGAAAATGCGCTAAAGATTTGAAGCGCTGAGGGCAACCGAACGGTGTATGCGGTGAGCACTCTAGGCAAGGCACGCTCAGTGGTGTAGTGGTTAGCGCCGCGCGCTGAAAACCTAGAGGTTACTGGTTCGATTCCGCGTGACAGATGCTTGCCTTCTGGTTTTTTTCTTTGCAAACTCTTGGTAAATATTTTCAACGTCACTTCCGTGATGGAAGTACGCCAGCAAAGCCTCTGTGGACCTCGGTATTTTCGTGTTAAAAAAAAAAAAGCTGGAAGCCGTTGTTAAGTAATTATCAGCTACAGCAGACTCATGTGCAGAAAAACCACAGAGAATCAGCGACCTGACGGGCATCATCGAGTCAAACATCCTTAGGAAGAGTGCCAAGACCAAGCAGCGGGAGATAGTTTTATTCATATGAAAATTCAGAAAAAGCAACAAGATGTTGCATAATAACTGTTCCTTAGTTTTTGCTACCTGAATAAAAGTTTGCGATTCGTGTTAGACTGAACAAGATTACTTACGCAGCTTTAAGAAACTATGATTGAATGTTGTCTGAAAAGAAAACGTCACTGGAGCCATGTTTCTGACGTCTGCTGCATTGATGTTGCGTTTTTTTTTTTTTTCACGAATTATAGTTACTTGAAGCCTTTGTCTTCCCCTGAAAGTGTGTGATTGGGTTTCTAACAGACAGTGTGGTCCTTGAAAATTGGTACACATAGCCTTGAATGTCCTTGAAAACCATTGAATTTTTTCATGTAAACAAGCATGAACCCTGAGCTGGTGATGGTGCCGCTTGGTTTCTTCACATTGTTGCCCACTTCCTGACCTTATAAGGACACTGAAGGGACAAACAAATGTTTCCTGTAGTTGTAAATTACTAAAGACACTGTGCATGCTGTGAAAAGATGCTTGACAAGTGCAAAATACAGGTGGTGTCAACTTGAGGTCGTGATAATGAACAGCGCAAAAAAAATATATATACTGAAGAAAGAACCACCAAGACAAGCTCCGACAGCAGACTGAAAAATTAGTGCACATAACCTGTGCTTAAACGTCATTTTTTTTCTTATTATTATTATGCATTCATGCCTACTAGCCCAGTTTGAACCTCTTCAAGTCCCTACACTAGTCGCTGTGTCATTACATTTTATAGTGTCTGCTAAATGAGGTACGTTTTTTTTTCATGGGCCCAGAGAACGAATGAAATTTGGAAATTGTGTTGACCAATGGAGAAAGAAAAAAAAAAGCCTGATATCTCACATCACCACTTCCAAGACCACGCTAGGAAATCTGAAAATTTTTATTTTCTCCTTACTCGTAAACCTATGGTGGTAAAATCGATGATGCTAAAGTTTTCATAGAAAATTTGTGTGTCTATAATCACCGTTTCACTTTATAACCCTTTTATCATTCTGTTTTTTTTTTTTTTTTTCTGTTTCCAGGCGAAGACACTCACGGGATCCCTATCACGGGTTTCGAGCTGGCTACGCCTGACTGCCGGGCTGTTGTGTGAGACCTGATGGCCCATTTCCGACCCTCCCCGGACGGCCTAGCTCTGCCACCGTTCTTCTGTATGCCAAACAACATGCCCCAGGCCGACGGCTACCTGCGGTGGCTCGTAATGCATGGAGATTGAGGGGTGGAGGTGGAAGAAGTCTCGACTAGATTTGTTTTCATTGTAATTGTGATATTCATATATTTATAAAGGGTGCAATAAATTCTGTTAGTTTTGAAAATTGGAGAGTGATCAATTCCAACATCGCATGCCGCTTTGAGTCCTTGAAAAAGTTGCAACAGGTACTGGAAAGTCTTTGAATATGCTTGAATTTTCGGTTTGGAAACCTGTACGAATGCTAGACCGAATTCATTGCAACGTGATGTGGTTATCTTGAGCTGCTGAGCATACCAGCAGTGACTAATATGTCTTTTTTGAATTATGAGCACTGTACATACTTGGCTGTGTTCAGATTGCGGCTTTCTAAAGGGAAACTGAAGAGGCCAGGAAAATGGTCTACTAGGTCAAGCATGAATGTGTTGTATTGTGCTCTATTGTAATTTTGAATATACGAATGCAAGTCAACCCATATATTGCGAGAAAAAAAAAAGAACTTGACTCATGTCTGTTTTCAAGAAACATGGCGTAAGTGCTATAATAAGCATGGTCAAGACCCATTGTACGTGCCGGTTTTTTTGGCAAGGGAAGGCACGGCCTTTGCGATGAGAATTCTCAACTGTTGGCAGCAATGAAATCTGGTATAGCGAGCATGGTTCTGCGGTTGATGCAGTATTTATTTTCTTGGCTATATCACTCAAAATCAGATCTTGACTAAGGGTTCCGGTGTGTGGAGCTTGAACGGCCGAGCTGCAGCATTCTAGGTTGTCGGTGTACATTTTTTCTAGAGTTGCTTTTAATTTTGGTGGTGTGTCGATGTACTGCAACTGTACGTGTTTAAAGTACCTGTGTAGCTGGTGCGAAAGTAGAGCTCCATTATCTCGATGCATTCACTAGCTTTGATCAAGCTCTTCTGGTTTCAGAGAGAGGTCGAAAGCTAAGTTTAGGTGGCATTTCCAAAAAAAGAAGCAGTTTTGCTGTTAGGGCGAAGCAACTAATGTGATAGCAAGCAATCCGAATATCACACGGATAACTACAAGCACCTCGATTACTTCAGCATGCCTCTGCAGCGCAAAGGAGGATGCTTGAAAAGAACGCGTAGGTATACTCGGGACACGTGCCGCTGTGTGTCGCCACCAGCGCTAGGATCTTTTGCTGCCATTTTAGATCGAAGGTTTTTCTTTTTTTTTATGTTGGACAATCATTGGAGCATAGAGGTTGTTTTGTTTTCACTTGTCCTCATCGGGCGAATAAGAACAGTGAAAATGGAGGAAAGGGTGGAGGTATATTTCTTATCTCCCGAAAAGCGGACCGGGCTGCATGCTCGAGTAAGTGCACTTGCTCGGATGTTTTACGATCGTGTCGCAAAATAGCAACATGTCATGCCACTGCCATGTATGTGTGTTCAATCCTGCCATGCAGGGGTCGTGTCTAAGTTTTTGCACCATTGTTACACATCTGCCTTCGAAAACATATTGTGACCAGTAGAAAAACAAATTACATTGAACATCTAAGTCATTATATGTTATGTCATCTGAAAACTGTTCTTGCTCAAGCTCGCATTTTTAAACAATAATTGTCCAATTATTGTGTTGCAAAATACAGTAGATTTGTAATCATTCAAACGATAATTCATACTTTTGGGCAATTCAAATAAAATTTAATTTTTTCGTGTGCCCTCTATTTTTTTATTGTATTTAAAAGCCTGTTAATTAAAACTTTTTCATTTGTTCAATTCATACTTTTTTCAGTTCCATGCCAGAAAATGTTTGCTGCTATGCCACTACAATCGAACTCTATATATGAGACACTGATATAAGAGACAAATGGGTATAAGAGACGCCAGTGTGCAACAGCACCTACAACATTGTGCCTACGGGTTGATAATAAAATTAATACATGGTACCTTGCTTATAAGAGACATCACGTATAAAAGACACGAATTGCTTTCCAGAGCATGCCTCCTATAAAAGGGTTTAACTGTACTATTTGAAAATTTGCGTGCTTATATAATAATAACAGTCTAAAAAGGAAAAATAAGCACCTCAGGCCCTCAAGGAAAAAGGCTTTGTTAATAAACAAATGTTTGAAACAAAGCAGACGCATGGTAAACCGTGGCGCTTCTCAACTGGTATAGAGAGCTTTCTGCTGAAGACACTTACCAATAGCATAAAAGCAGTTGGCAATTCACTTTTTTTTTAGAGGTCTGGTCAGCAGTAAATGGCCAATAAACTTGTAGACCTTACACCTCTGCTTTCTGTTTACAGCATGCAGTTGAAGTTTAATAGTACTTAAAAAATTTTAAATGTGATAAAAGTAATCTTTAATCATAACGTGTGTCACCTCACCTAGAGTCGGTCTAGTGGCGAAGGTACTCTGCTGCTGACCCACAGGTTGCGGGATCGAATCCCGGCTGCGGCGGCTGCATTCTCGATGAATTCGAATGCTGTAGGCTAGTGTGCTCAGATTTGAGGGCACGTTAAAGAACCCCAGGTGATCGAAATTTCCGGAGTCCTCCACTATGACGTTTCTCATAATCATATGGTGGTTTTGGGAGGTTAAAGCCCACATATCAATCAATCAATCGCCTTGAATCATCTATCGGAGAACTCCTGATACTTGCAACTTCTTGATAATTCAAGCAAAAGTCAGAGGTCCCTTCGAGTTTGAAATATTGAGTGTCGAATGTAGATGTCATATACCACTACCATGTATATGTGTGTACTAAAGAGCATCGGAATTTCAGCTCGTAGTAACAACTCGTGATGCATACATGCAACCTGGTGTACCCCTTGCTTTATATAGTGTATGAGAGTGGTGTAGTATCTACTAGTCATTTGCACACGTAAACACTTTGTTCTGCAATGTGACAAATGACTTGTTAGGTTGAAGGCTCAGCCGCTTTGGAAACATAGAGAAGCCATCACAGCCAGTTAGGTTCTGCAGTCACTGATGACACGCGAGGGCAACATATGCTGACCCATCTTGGTTGTTGCACACAATTGCATGTTCTTGCTATGAAAAAAGATGTTTCCGATTCCAAACCGGGTGCGAAAGCTATAGATCTCTAGAAGCACTATTGTTGCTGCGATTTTGGTGCTACTTGGATCACGTGATGTGAATATGCTTTGGTAGTGCTTGCATTAAGTGATCTATTCACAATTCACGTGAATTACAGAGCTTCTATTTCCACGATATTTCTATCACCTCCAAAAAACTCTGTCTTATGTTATTTACAATAACTGATCATTGCATTGGCAGCTCCAAGATTGCTTTTGAACTCCCGAAATTCAAAGGAAATCAACAGTTTCAAGTTTCACAGGCTCATCCCAAATCGGCTACATAGGCTACATTCACAGGCTCATTCCAAAGCCCCTATGTAGGCTGAATAAGCATTCATGAAAATTTTGTCGTCAAAAAGAAACAGGCTGTGGCCTCCATAAGTGTGTCATCAAATTTAACAACAAATATACTGAACAGCATGGTGCCAATACCGTATATCATAAGCTTGACTGGGTTGGTAGACAAAGAATAAGAAACCACTAAAGACGCAATGAGAAGCACCATGCCGGTGTCTTCTTCTCATCCCGTCTTTAGCGCTGCTTTATTTTTCATCCACATATCATAAAATTAGGCCTTTTCACGGTGAAGTATTTAGTTCTTTTTCTTGGTGTTCACTGCACTAAATTCAGAAAACTGTTACACTGAACCTCTTTCTCCGAGTCAACAGTGCTTGACACAGCGCTGTCATGCATACATGCGCCGCACACAGCGCTGCAGATGTCATGCGCTGTATGCAGCACCGCCGAGGCAATACGGCTATGCGGGAGATGAAAAGGGCGCACAGGCACTTCAGTAACTGCTGTGCACAGCTGTCAGATTTGTAGATTGTTTCCAAGGTTCGCCCAAAACTGAAACAAGTGTGCTGCAAAGCAGTTATGGCTGAGGCAGGTTCAAATACTTTACTGTGGCTGTCGGGTACATTAGAAAGTTGTGAGAGTTCATGTCACAATAAGCTGTGCCAGAGACTGTGTACAGAAACGTTCTCTCTGGACCGCTTGGTTTTGTCTAGCACTTTTAGGGAGTCAGTCCAAATGAAAATGACAAAATGCTTTTCAAATTAAATTGCCTTCTACACATTTTACTTCGTTTCTGTGGTGCCTAATGCTGTTCCATGTCCTAGTGGATGTTCAGTCTAGTGGACTTTTATTCAGGCAAACTATTTCCTTAAGTCTCTTGAAGTTCACTGAAGTGAGAGTTCACTGTAGTAGGCTAATTTTTTTCCATCGGTTTTGCCATTTTAGGTAATGTTTTAATAGTCTCAAAGCATTGTGATAGATTCTTTTCAAATATGCTGAAAAAAATATAAATGTCATATTTGATGTCATCTAGTCTTCTACATTCACATTCTGTAAATTGATATTCTGCCAATTTCACTTGGCTCACCTGACCACAATTGAAAATTCTTAATCAATTCCGCAGTTGCACTCTCTTTATATGTCTCCTCGATTTGGCTGCACATTCTGCACTAGTTCATTAGTGCTGCACTTTTGCCCTCGATTTGGCGAGTACAGCTCACATCACCTGGACTTAGGCACTCGATTCTTGCTGCATGTGTTAATCGGCACTTTAGATATAGCTTTCTTGCGAGTTCTCTTCTCGTGCAAATAGTGCAAGGTATATGGCGGGACTGCACTTATGCCCTCGATTTGATCGCTACACTGAAACTGCTGGTGTGATGCTGCACTAACACTAGAGGAACTGGTGTGGCACTGGCATGACACTTTCGTGTATCACGTCCAGAAAGTGCAGCCAAATCGGGAAGACCTTATGCTTCTGAAGGTTAAAAAACATGGGGAAACTAAACATTTTATTGAAAATTAAGAGAGCCTAAGAGGGAAATTCAATATTTTTGAAAATTTTTTCTGATGAAATATAATGAGAAGCAGGAATTCTAATCATTCTGAGGCTAAAATTGTAATGTCAAGCTCCTAGTAAAAGGTAACAGGTTTTTACGCTTGTATGTCATGGCTTCGGCCCCTCAAGAGTAGAATTCTTAAGTGCTTTTGAGCTTTGATTTGGGAACTCAGAAAATATAGATGGTCAAAATAAGGCCAATACCCACTACACTAGTTCTCATAGTCCTACAGTTGCTCCGAGACCTAAAGTTTGAGTACTCAATGAACTGCAAGCTACAGTCGCTGCTTACGTAGGATGAAAATATGACTTTGTCGGAACTGTTCTGTATACTTTTGAAAACATTCCAGCAGATCTCATGCATTGTGGAAAGTGATGTCATGTGAAACAGTCGGTGAGGCACTGCCCATGCCACATTGCTTGGCTTCAAGCCAAGTGTTACGAGGAAGATATATGGGCTTATCAAGCACATAGACAAGAGTGAGACCCCCGTAGGGAAGCTTATGGTCGGATGTAATGTCAGCCCTCATGTAAAGCAGACATAATAATACCTTGTATTTTGTGCCCCAAAACCACAATAAGAAGCATGCCATGTAGGGCTCCAGAAATTTGGACCACCTGGTGTTAACATGCACCGACATTGAACAGTGTATGGGCCTCTGCCTGAATCAAAATGTGACCACTACAGCCGGGATCAAACCCGCGACTTTAGGGTCTATATCCACTATACCACCATGGTGGAGAGAGGCATAGACATCAATTTTATGGAAGAGTAATGCATGCTATGCAGTGCAGATGTGCACATAACAAGCAGCATTCCTAGTTATCTTCTCGTTTAGTCAAGCAAGCTCGTCTCTGCTATAGCTTGCTAAGCCATGTATTGCTAAATGTTTTGTGCTTATGACATTGTTATGTAAGAGAACATGGCCAACGTCACAACCTACAGCAGAACTAATGATGCACCACAACTGATGTTAAGAAATCATCTCTCATTTTACAATGAATGAAAGAAGAGAATTTCAACCATTCGTTTCTTTCACACAAATTATGAAAACCAACAGACAATGAAGCCAAGGAAGGAATAGGTCTCAGACATCACTTGTACTATTTCAAGTGGATTGATGCAAAGATAGCGAAACGACGACAAGACAGGTTGCACATTCAGTATTTTCTAGAGGCAAGGTGTCTCTTCATCCTCCTTGATTTTTTTTCTATCTACATCACAATTGCTACAATACACATGAAAGAGTACACAAACTTCTTTGGATTTATCGTCTGTATCAAACAAAGAAACAAGCCCTCAAAATTTTCTTACTTCGTTCATTTATAGCAAGGGTCTCGTTCCAGCAGATATGATGCCTTAAGGTAATATGTGGTTGCTTATTGGTCAGGTGTCCGCTCGTTAAAAGGCCACCTGGTGCGTGATGCCAGCTGGCTAAAGATAAGCATTTCACACTTACCCCCATAGCTACAAACGGGGCTAACACTCACAGGTTCGCGTGCACATAAAATACACGTTAATGTGAATGCGGGGACAACCGCTGTCGTAACTTCATTGATGGAGCAAAGGGTGCATTATGGGGAGATTACAGGTTCGGTCCCGGCCAGCAGCAAGTTGTCTTTCTGTCCACTTCACTTTCTTCACAACTACATTATATTTGAAACAATACAATTATTGTGCTTACCTTGGCTTTATTATCTGTTCCTTTTTATTAAGGTTGTACCACATCATTGCTAATGTAATAATTTTATTTATG